TAGAGAGCGTCGAAATGACAGCGCATAGAGTACGCTTACAGTTAATGATTACTACCGTACCTTTCGACTACGTTGTACTACAGTACAGTACTAGTACTTTGTAGTACAGAAATGTACCTGGTACTGTAAAGGATGATATTTGACACTGTATACAGTACAGTACAAGGTACGACTACAGTAGTAATACAGTATTAGTACTACTATTAACAGTTATTAGTACCGGATTTCGTCTGAAACGGTTACAAAGGCGTTTGAAAAGGCAATTCCTTTTGTAATTGAACTTTAGATATTTGGCACAATTGCGTACAATCGCCTTTGCATGGCGTGTTCAGAAGATTGTTGCATGTGTATTGTGACATACTAGTAAAAACAATTTTTTTCCTGTATGTGAATTTCTCCCCATGGACCTACACAGGTTCCAGCGCACACAGACTATATGGCATATCGTACATCGACACAGGGGATTGATCCCTGTACCGCCTGGTTCCCAAGCGGGAGCTCTATCACGTGAGCTATTTTCTATTAGCCTCGCCCATCGCAGTCCACTAGAACCTACCCCTTCCTATCCGTCGATCATGTCGAGGGCTGCTCGCAATTCCACCGCCCCCAACCCGCGCCCGATGCTTGAACCCTCGGGGAACCACTCAGGAGACCTACTCCAAGGTCCTAATGGTTCCTGGAACTTACCTGCCTCGACTTTGCCGTTGCCGCTGACCGCCGCGCCGCCTGACGATCAGCCCACCCATCCACTGGTGTCGATTGGCCTCCGCCTGGTCCTCAGCACCTTCGAGCTCGGGCCAGCGAGCCTACCTGGACCTGTGGCTCCGTCGCGCACCATGCCGCTGCCATCGTCGTTGCCTGTCGAGTTCGAAGATGAAAGCTTCGATTTACCTGTTGCGAGCTCTGATTTGGAGTTTCAACCAATCAGTAATCTCGATTTGGTAAATTCCAAATCTAACCAACCAATTGGGATTTTTGGCGTTGGTCTCTCCAAGCCAATTGGAGGTCAAAACGCAGGGATAATTCCTGGAATTTCCCCATTGGCCAACGCAACCGAAGTACAGTCGACACCGCCTGCACTTTCTGCACCTGCAGCATCGAGCGGGTCTGACCGCAGTCCACTGGACTACAATAAGCGCACACAGACTATATGGCATATCGTACATCGACACGGGGGTTTGATCCCTGTAACCTAGATTTCCAATTTAAGAGACATATTTTGGAGGCGCCGTCTTGAAATGGAAGCAACTAGGCGCTGAAGAATGGGATTCAACCCCTGAAAGTTGATACATGAAGTATAAAGGCGAGTCTTTCGATGGTGCATTGAAACATCGTTTTTGACGGTATCCTTGTTGTACTAAAGTCTCATTTTCCAAGCAAAACACCTCTTAAATTGAGGGATACTTTAAGAGCCATATTTTAGGTTTCGCATTTGTATAGTTATTTGCATATTAATTTTGTGGTTAGCGTATGTATTGTCAAGAGGTAAATTCACAATGTATATTGCGGATTTGGTACAGAATTCCAGATTCCGTCGAATCGAATCTCGCCGACTGAATCTATCACAAACCTCGCCCATTCGCTAATCCATTCATGCTAGATTACGATTGGCTACTCAGAAACCAGCCTTTCAGAGAACGTGCCGAACTTCAACTCACTTCAGAACATCCACGCGGACACCCACCATGGAGGGGCATACACTCCCGCGAGGAACACGAGATCCTCACAAAGCCCACGTCCAAGACCACTAGCAGAGGTGGGGGCGCGCTCAACCTCGTTGTACGAGCGCATACTTGAGCATATGATCAAATAGACTGTCGGTCAGCGCAACACGTCCGCTGTAAGGTTAGCGACGTTCGTCTGTGGTGGTGCGTCGTGGAGTGAAATGAATCGTTTCTCGTCCTTTCCATAGATGACTGCCAAACGAGACTTCTTCATCCCAAGGAAGTAGTAGCCGTAGAGGAAGTGCATCACAGTGTTGGGGCTGGCTGGCGTGTCCGTGGAAGACAACAGACTCAATGGCGCTCATGGGTATCGACAACCAGCCAGAAGGGCGTGCGTTTGAAACTGCCTAACTCACAGACTAACTAATCAAATGCCGTCGCGCGGTTTATGAAAGTAGGGCTCTGAACCTCTCCATATCCAGAAATTCCCAGCAAATCGACAATACAGGACCAATAGTTCGATGTACACTGCGCGCCACATGAATAGACCCACGTACGTTTTGGTATGTAAACTACGAACCTCTTCGATCTATGACAAGCCAACGAGGTTCTGAGCCCTACAGGGAAGCCTTGTGCTGGACTCCAGTGCTTCACATCATTATAACATCGATGAAAACTCGATCCTCATAATTCTGACTACAAGCCTGCGTCAGATGAATAGACCCAGAGTAAAAAAAACAAATTACTGGCACAATTGATCATTTTCATTGACTTAATAGCCTGTTCTACCAGCATTGGCTTCGAACACAGCCACACAACGTCGTGGCATTGACTGGATGAGTGACATTATGAGTTCTTGGCTGATTCCACACCAGGCTTCGATGATGGCCAACTTGAGGTCCGCAACACATTGAAATTGACGGCTATTTCGATAAACATTGCGCAGAAGGAGTCCCCACAGGTTCTCGATTGGATCAGGAGATAGTGAGGGGTGGACAAATAGAGTAACCTTTTCATCCGACAAAAATTCTTTCGAGTATTTTGAAGTATGAATCGAAGCTCCATCTTGCATAAACACAAACTCATCTGCATAATGACAATGGCAAATGGAAACAAGTAAATGCTTAATATTTCAACATATGCAGATGAGTTTTGATTTCCAGAAAGAAATGCCAACTCAGACAAACCAGCAGAAGAAAAACCACCCAAACCATGACCCCACCCCCACCATTCCGACGAGTGAAAAACGTGTCTGGCTCCATTCGAAGGTCGCGTCAATAATGTTGAAGGCCGTAAGGACCATCAAGGTTGAAGATCTTTTCGTCCGACCAAATAATTCGACCCCAGTCTGGAGGAGCAGCAAGATGCTTGTTGGCGTGCTCGATACGGGCCTTCTTGTGGCGTTTCGTGAGGGCTGGCATGGGTTTTCGCTTCACATAGCTGAGGTTGGGGGCTTGGAGGAGACGCCGTTGGCATGTTCGAAGAGAGGTATCCAAATTTAGACTTGTCTTAAGGCTTCGAGCTGACAAGCCTGTCTTGGATGCCTCTCGAACAAGCAAACGGTACTCCCGTCCGATGATAAGGCCCGCCTTTCTTCCTTTGAACCCTGTTCCATACTGCTCCGGGTCCTTCAGAAAGGTGCGAACGGCCTTTGTTGATCGAGAAATCTCGAGAGCTATGGCTCGGATGCTCAATCCGTGCCGTCGGAGAGCCAAGACCATGCCCTGCTCCATGGAACTCAAGACAGATCCGAGACCCATTGCGGCAAACAGGTGGAGCTGTTACAAGGTACTACATAGTATTTGTGAGGATAGGAGGCCGTGAGTGTGGTTGAATTTACCTCCAAAGCGAAATTTGCCGAATGGGTCTATTCTAGTGGCGCGAGTTTTTGAACCAATTCATTACCCGTGACAATCATATTGGGAAAAATGGCGATCACTAACCAACATCAATGCGTTTTCTAGTTGCCTTCTTCTTGGCGTTGGCTGGAAGGCACAGTGCTTCACTTCGAACGACGATATGACGCTCGATCCATAGGGCTTCCACGAATGACTTGGGTACGCCACAGTTCTTGAAAAGGTTGTATCGCTTGATCATTTGCTCCTCTGATAGGGGCCTCAATCCGGTAGCGCGATAGCCGCTGATGACGTTTGCAGGCAACACACTTTGCGTCCAAGATGTCGAGGCGATTCACAAGGCCGCTGCCTTTGAAATGGAATGAAAATCTCCAGTTTCTATCGTGTACATGATACATCCTTTGGTTTGATTTAACTATACTTGCAAAATATACCGTACCGTCTTGAACCATTGATTCAAAGATAGCTTTACAAATCGAACACTTGTAAGGGCCAAACACAGATACGTCCAGGGGTTGAAATAAATGCGTTGCATTCGCCGGAAGGCAAAGTAGTACAATTTCAAATGAAGCCCACAATGCTAAAATGTCCGAGGAATAATCGAAAATCAGCAACACAGGACGAGTAACTGTTTTGTCCAAAGAAGTAGGAAAATGTCTCGACATTCTCCAAATAAATCCTCATTGATGAAACCCTTTGGTGAAGTTGACTCAGCAGCATTAGGGACATCACATTCAGTACTCAATGTCAACGTTTTCACCAGGAAAGACAAATAATGGTGACAATACAACCCCAGACGCACTGGCACAGGCGACAATAGACAAATAGAAGTTCGTAGCTACCGTTTTGGCCCATACGTTCTGAGACCCCTTCAAGGCGACCACCGACTTGGACATCTTGCGCAGGTGAACGCCGTTTCGTCCATGTTGAAGATACGGTCGGAAGTCAAGGCATGGTTCGTGATGACATCGGACATCGAATCGAACAACATGTTCACACCCTCCATGGTGACTACATTTATTGCGTGGGAGACCACCTGCGCGACGTGGTTCTTCAATTGGGGGTGGCGCTCATGAAATCGCTTGAACCAACCAGCTCCGACTGCCAACGACGCGTCCAGACGACGGGCGAGCTGGTTCGCTTTGACGAGGATGTCTTGGCGATCGACAGGCTACCCGAATTGCTGCATGGCACCGTTCGACGCAACCAGGCCCGTCTCGCATGATTGCGGCAGGCATGGTTTCGGGCCACTGCGCAATGGCACTTTAGAGGTCCCCGCCTTCGTTTCGTATACAGGTTGCATCAATGTCTTGTACGGTATCGTCGTGTGTGCAGCCACAATGTTTCCCTTCTGGCAATTACGCATTGCATGAACTGCTTGTTCAAGCTCATGTTGTTTGTATCTGCTGCGTGGCCGATGGACCATTGTAGGTGCACGATCGCATCCAAATTAATTACACTCCGTAGTGATGGAATTTTTCCCCCGTCAAACAATAGAATTACTGTCATTTAGTTTGAGTTTCGCGGTATTTTCAGTGATGCCTGTCAACCAAAAGACTTTGGAAGCCGTACAGCGCGTCCAAGCCGGCGAAAGTGTCGCCGCCGTTGCTCGGAGATCCGATATATCGCGGAGCACGTTCTTTCGCACACTTAAGAAGGTTAAGGAAGTCGGTGCGCCAACCACCGAAAAACGTGGCCTAAAGACAACGCTACCCATGCATGTCGAGCATGACATTGTCACGTGGATTGGAGCCAGGCAGCATGCTGGGTAGTCAGTTGACCGAAGCGAGATCATCGCAGCAGCGTCGCAGATCTTGTCCGTCAACCATGAGTCCCCCTGGACGTGGGTGGTACAAGCGATTCAGCTTGCGTCATCCAATTTTGACCGACCAGCTCGCACAAAAGTTGTCAAATGGGCGCAACTCGGTGACTCGTGAGGGTACGCAACAATATTTCTATAGTTTACTTCATGCATGTTTGCTATTTAAGTGCACAGCAAGTGACATTTACAACATCGACGAAACGAGTTTCAAATCCAAGACAAAAAATATGAAAATCTCGCAAGCAATAATAAAATAAAGCCCTCCACAAAATTGTACTACTAGTAAGTTAGTATGTTAGTATGATGCGAAGACGAAAATCAGTCTTCGCAAATTTGGTCTCTATAAATTGATATTTCCACAACGAAATGAATTTGGGTTTGCCACAAAATTCTTCTATCCGGAAGAATTCGACGAGCTTATTTCGATTGCGAGATTTTTGGTAATCATCCATTCGAGGTTCAAAAGATGTGCACTTGACGGACCATAACGACTCGTACCACTTGACCATCATCATTGCCGCTGCAGCCGACGGCACACCAGTGCCCCCTGCGTTCATCTTGCCTGGCCAATGTTGTGAAACTAAGCAGCAACGAATCGTAACGGTTGAAGTTGCTCGCAATGAAGTGCTCGCAGCACTATCGTTGCCGCAAGCGAAGAAACGAAAGGGGGTCACGACTCGCTCCGAGTGGCACACTCGCAACGGCCTCCACTACATGTATGCTGCTTCTGTACCGTGTGTTTGGGCAAAACGAATCTTTCGTTTTCAAATACTGGTCGGATTTAGCTCATTCTTTTCTTAATCGCTTCGTCTTGAATTAAAGATATGATGAATCCCACGTTTTGAAGGCTAAATATGAATGGTGATAGACTTATGTGCCTTCGCGACATGGGGAATCCAAGCATTTGCTTGGGTCGTATTGTGAAAATAAAATAGCTCGAATCTTTAAAAACTTGCAAAGAGGAAATCCACTACGGTAGTACTTGATTTTCAGTGCTCCCGCTCGTATTATTATAGATTTTGGCCTGAGTGCAGAACTATTTTTTATTTAAATATCGCTGTTCTGAGTATATTAATTTGCTCAGAATGTATGGCAGGAGCGAAATTTGAAACAACGATATCCATTTTAATATCCCGTTGTATTGATTATAAAACCCCTCACCCGATGAACTGATTTCGCCTATATTAGTATATACCTTCAGATCTGAAAAGTGATACATGGGGGAAAAGTTATGGAAGAATTAACCAATACATTCGTTTTGCCCAAACCACAATATGTGCAAAGGAGTGAAATAAAATTAGATTGTTACAAAGTCCAATTAAATTTTTGCAAAATTTTATTCTGTACGGTGATTTGCATTCAATTATATTTAGGATCATGCTGTTCTGCAAATTCTATTAACCACATACAAAGATCAAGTTCTCTTACCAGTGTCATAATTAGAAAAAAGCAATGACGTTTTACAGCAAAGTAATTAAATTCGGTACAAATCTGAAGTGATATTGAACTGTTCTACTTGATGCGTCAAAAACACTTGTTTCGTTGAATATTTTCTTATGATGCAGA